ACAGCAATAAATTTGGCATGTTTTTTTACTCCAATCCGAACTCAATACACGTCTTGGCGTGCAAATATACTAATTAGAGCGCCGTTCGGCTAGGAGGGGCAGTTCGCAGTCTTGCTGAATTCGTTCGCTAGTTCCAGATAAATTATACGACAGGCCATGCTGAGACCTATAGACTCTCAGCAAATGCTATCAAAGCTCTTGCTACTGTTTGAATACTTCTGCCGGCTCTCCCTATTGTAAAGCTTCAAACAAGCCCACACGCCTCCACAGGGAGCATCACCAGTGATTGATGGGAAGCAGCGAGATGCCCCCACCAAGCCAAACTGCATACTTGGCATTGCCGTTGAGAAAGCATATTTTGCGCCGTTGAAACTTCGCAGTGGCCGGGATGAAGAAAAAGCAGGGGAATCAGTCGAAAACGTTCCCACCCTTATCTCCCCTTCTTTGTCCTGAGGAAGAGTTGAAGATCCCTGGGAAGACAGCAAATGAACAAGTAGGCAACGGACATAGCGAGGCGGAGTCATTTGAGCTCAGCTAACTACAAGGCCATTGACAAGGTATTAATTGACCTAGCAGGGAAGAAAAAAGGCACTATTCAACATTACTACCCCAATTTCCGAAAACAGGCCAGGATCTTGATCGAATTTTTTCTACGGGGGTAGATTTAGCGGCGCCAAAAATTCTAAATCAGCGAAACTGCTGAAACCTTGTGAGTAGTTGACCTCCTGAACACGAATATCACATCCGCTCCGCCCGAAACTGCCTGGCGCCCGCGCCACAGGCGCCGGCGCCAAAATACCCTAGGTCACCAAATCCGCTGAAAACTTGTATACGGAGGTTATTTGACATCTTGATTACAAATATCACATTCATTTTTGGCGCTGGCGCTGATGGAAGACGCTGCGATCATCTGCGCTCTGCTAAGGCTGAGCCTGACCTGAAGGAAATCACTCTTTCTCCCAGGCTCAGCCTTAGAAAAGCGCTAAATGGCGCTGGCGTCGAAAAATAAATGTCATATTCGTGATCAGGGCATCAAACAACCCCATTATGCAGGTTTTTATCGATTTCGATAAAAAGGGTGTGGCGCTAAATAGCACCTAATGGCGCCAGATGGCGTCAGGGCTGAAAACTAATTCGGCATTCGTGATCAGACATCAAATAACCCTACTATGCAAATTTACACCGAATTTGGTGGGGCGGCGCCAATTGACGCCAATTTGGCGCCAGCACTGAGAACGAGTGCTATATTAGAGATCAGGACACCTAATTACTTTTACGGGCGAAGTTTCAGCAAAAATTTTTTTTGACTTTCGGGGTAGTAATAGTTGAATAGTGCCGAAAAAATATGGAAAATTCTGCCGGAAGTGCCTCATATGGAATTCCATGAGGAGCCGCGCTTGTACGTTCATAAGACGAGCAACGGACGTGGTGGGACGAGTTCTCATCTGCTGCTGCCACCTCGTTCTCCTTATCACCTCACTCTCACTATTCGATATGGAGAGAGTCAGTAGCGGAACAACCCCATCAGGTAGCAGATAGAAATGAATGTTGGGCGTCACCGCATTCAGTGGGCGAGGCCTAGTTCCGTCCTACAAGCGAGCGACCCTTTAACGCGTATTTTCGAACAGCAAAATTAGTGCATTCTCCATTTTTGCAATGAGAGCTACCGTACCCAAAGAAGGCACCTGAACATTGAAGAAACGCGGGGCGTGCCTTCAAGGAACCATGCATCTTGATGCCTTTCAAGCGTCTGACATGAAACTGATACAAGATTAGGCGCAATTCATGTTTGGGGGGGGGGGAGACATTTTGCCATTTCGCTACTTTCCATTCTCGTGTTTTTGCTTTACAAAATTTGACAAGGGATCTCTACAAACTGTATCACTCCATGACTTCACATGATTTGACAAATCTCCCTTTGATGGCTCGACACAACAGCGAAAATGCAAAGCCCCCCCCCCCTAGGCGAACCGCGCCTAAGATTGTCCCTACAGCTTACACTGCCCTTTCAAGATAGGCTTAGATCCATATGAAAATCGCGAAGTAAACATTCAAGCAAGGACGCTGATAGAGAACACAACAAATAAGTAAATAAGGCATTTCAAGATGAAAGCTCCCAATGCGGAAAAAGGAATTTAAATACCGTGAATAAATAGGACGTTCCAGACTGGAAACAACTATGATTCATCGGATCCCTACAATGGCTATTACTGCTACATGAATGATGCTCTGACCAAATATATGAACCAAGACTCTGTAAAGCGAGCTCTACACATCCCACCCACAATACCCGCATGGCAAGCAGATAGGTGAGTCAGATTGAGTCGATTTTTGACTGGTTGTCCTGACCTTGTGAATCAAAGTGTAAATTCCGAGGTTATGCTGCAAGTGCCACCCCCCCCCACCTCTTTCACGCAGTCAAGGGCCAGGACAGATAGTTTATGCCCTGTGATTCTTTTAGAAAGTTTTCGATATCTTAAGGAATTACGATATGCACGGCGTTATGCAAGGGATGTGTCTTATGACAGTTCAAACTTTCGCGGACGGCTGGCGCTTCGGTCACCCGTTCGACGCGATGCAGTCAACAGCATGCGCATCAATCGTCGAATCGCGCGACCGAAGCGCTGCCGTCGCAAAGTCTGAACGTTGCTTAAGCCTTGTAATGTGCCGCACTAGTGGGCACGGCGAGCGACTTGTCGGTCGACCGTTCCAGAAACCAGCTGTCAAACCGACGCGTACTTGGTGCCCTAAGGTTTCAGGGCTGAGAAACTTGCTTCGTGTTGTTGTTTATTCCCCTATCTAGCCAAAATTAGCAACCTTCTTGGACCGAAAAGGCACTGGCCTAAAAGGCGTATAGGCCTATTATTTTTAAATGTACCCACAAGGAACGAATTACAATGGCATGGCATATTCTAATGACCTTCAATAATTCGACGGACTACGTTTTTTTGAGCTTTAGACTCTTGGGCTACAACGTTAATCCCCCGTTATGAGTGCTACAGCAGAAAGTCAGAGACTTCCTCGTCCAAAGCAGACCGTAGTCGCTGAGCAGTGAGTCATATGCGCAGGAACTACGATTTTTCAATTCTTGGAATTGAGGAATGCACGAAGATGGGGTTCTTTTCAGGCCCATCTAGGCACAGCAGGCAAAATGATGGGAGAGAGGTAGGAATTAGTTCCTCGTCGACGCGACTCCGGCTGTCTCAGCGAGAATCCACTCATAGTGGATTAAGCACCAATAACCCTTCCTAACTGACACGACTCTATCTCCTCCTTGGGAGGAATGCGCCAGTGAGCAGAGTATTGTAGTTGACCGTCTCTGCCCATCCAATAAGTATGGCAATGCCTATTTTGTGTAAAAGTCACATCTCAAGCGGTCCAGGACCGGCTTTTCTGACTTCTGGCATTTTTTAGCTAAATATTTTGTGTCTATCCTGATTCAAATTACAGCAGCATCATCAATATCTACAATCCAAACGAATCCAACCGCTCAGCCCTCCTTCGATTACATCATCAACAGGTATAGTACTCTTTGCAGTTTGATATTGGTACTGTTATGAACTGAGGTTCTGACATACTTGTGCAGTTGAAGTTAGGTCGAGAGAAATTGGGCGATTATAATTAATGCACGTCTACTTTCACTCCAAGCCAAAACCAAGACGTTCAACGCCAATTCAATAAGTACAATGCCACTCTTTCTTGGCTCGAAGAGTGCTTTCGGGATCCAACCGGCCATCATTAAGAATGACCGCGATCATCTTTGCTAGCCATCCTATCCTGCATCATTGAGGCTGCGTTCACACTTTGCGACTCGGCGTTTTTGGAGAATCAGGGCGATAAAAGAAAGCGAGATTCGATCTGGTGTTTGTACAGGGTCAGCTCATCGAGCTGCCTGGCGTTTTAGGAACCATCGTTTCCTGACTATTCTCTTCGCTCGAAACCGCTGCTCCTCCTGAAACGCCGATCGAATGAATGAACACCCTATAGAATCGCGCAAAGGAAAAAAAATTTAGGATCAAGATAAACCGGGGAGCGGCGTTATGCATTCTTCAGATGTGTTACTTGCTAGCTCTTGAGCCGAGTTGCCAGCTTCAGCGGCCCCCGGCTCAGTGTAAGATGCGGTCGATACCGTTACCCTCAGTGATTCAATCTGTTTACGGGTAATGTCCCGGATCACTCACCTACATATTCTACATCAGCGCCAGGTGCGGTAATTGCAGTATTTAAACGCTGAAAGATGGAATTCCAAAGAAATACCCTGCCCTAAGTGTATTTGAGTTTATCACTCCCTCAACCACACTTCCAACTGTGTACCGCGCTCTGGTATCGAGTTTATTTGATTATCCTTGCAGTCAATACTACTCAACGAGCAACTTCACCATACTTCTCTATAGCGGTGATGTGGATACGATGTGTAACTGGATGGGTGCAGAATGGTTCACCACCCAATACTTCGGCAATACCTTAAATCTAGGCGTGAGTTTTATTTCGAAAGTTCCAACAGCTCTTAAAGACGGTGGTAACGCTGACTGTAGGTGCGTTGGACTATTTGCTAACACCCACTTTGGTCATTTTTGTGTGGCAGAAAAGAAGGGAGCAAGGGGAGTATTTTCAAATTAATGACCAAGAAAACAGGCCCATTCACAATTTGATTACCGCTGTGCCATAATCAGATGAAATATGAATTCTGCTGGTGCGAAAACTTAAAGGCGAAGCTCTGACCTGCACCGCGCACGGTCGCGCTGCGGCCTGGTCAACCAGTCCATAGCTAGAGGGCCTCTCAAACCATTATAACAACGAACAAAGTACCGAGATTATAAGCATATATTTCAGCTCCAGCAACGCCAGCCATGGTACTATCAGTCTGATCCGCAGTATGTCAGCACACTTGGGGGTTACGCAAGGAAGTACGCCAAGAATATCGATGTTCTTACGGTAAAGGTGAGTCCTTACTGGTAAACAACTCTCTTCCAGAGGTTTGACTAGGTATTTGGAGAAATACCAGGGAGCTACAGTATCTTCGAAGGTACATATGCCTCGGGAGAGGCCTGTCTGCAATTTTGCGCCTAGGCGCTTTACTAGCCTGCGATTCCAAGGGGGAGGAAGGGGCAAGGAACTCCGAATTGGATGCTTGCTTGCCAAATTCCCCTTCAACAAATGACAAGTGATTCATCCATCTCGGGGCTTTCTTCCTCTTCAAAACCTGCAGGGCCCTATCGTGGTGACGCAAAATTGCAGACTTGCCCCTCCTGTAGCTAACGGTGCCTTCTGAACTGAAAAAGTGAGACTTTTCTGTAAGCCGAAGCTAGCAATAAAAATAATTAGGCTCTTCTAGGGTTCCGGACACTTTGTGCCCCTGGATCGACCGGCTCAGGCGCTTCAGATGATCTACAACTGGATTCAGAGGGCGAATTACAGTACTCCTTATGTGCAAATGACGAGTACGACAACATCGCCTGCAAGTACCTCCTCGTCTACCGTACCACCACAACCGACAGGAACGGGAACAACGCAAGCGCCCACAAATGTCACCCAAACACCGGGATCCCCAGCGCCTTCTAATAGCACCGCAACCCCAGGATCTGGTACAACTGCAACTGCAACTGCTACGTCCCCGAAAAATAACCTTGGCACTTCACCGACAAGTCCTGCGCCCCCGAGCACTGCTCCTCAGAACCTTGGCACTTCACCGACAAGTCCTGCGCCGCAGAGCACCACTGGCGGAGGGTCAGTCGTCTATTCTGTTTACACGATAATTTCCCTAATCATATTATGCATTCTGTACGTTTGAAGTTGTTGTTGATTTGATAAATATTCCAAATTTTCTATAGCTCTGAAGATCTTTTCTAGAAAGGGAATCACATAAACAAAGATCTGTCAAGGTACCTTTTGGCCATGGGCAGAGGTGTTGTAGTGATGAATGAGATCACATTCGTGCTCAGCCCTCAGGCTGAATCTTCCAAGGGGGGGGGGCAGACAGGCTCCTTGATGTGTTTGTGGTAAGCGGAGGTCAGCAATTCTTTTGATTCCAGCCAATGTCAACCATACCTTCCGTAGTCCTTGGGTATGGAGGGTTAGTACCGAAGGATCATTAGAATCGTCTCAAAGAGTTCGTCAGGGAGAAAAAAAACACCGGCTTGCACATCGGCCAGCCATATCAAGTCGCGGTACAGATTGGATCACAGAATGGACGTAGTTTGACTTGGTGGGGGCAGCGAATGGTACTGAGCTCTGGTGCACCTCTTGTTGAACATGAAATAACAAAAGGAAAAAGCAAAAGTGCAAGGTGCCCCTTCCAAGCCTACGGGACGTCACCGGGAACAAGCAAGCATGGAGCACCCAAGGAATATGTCATCTTCATGTCTGGAAACATCAGGGAAGAGCACGTCAGACCTGCAATTGGTATGTGGCTCAAGCGGGTTTTAGGCGTACAAAAACAGTTCCGAGAATAAAACGCGTGCGAAAGAGAAAAGAGTTTCTCAGTGCT